TGACGATTGTAATTTGTGGAATGTCCGGACACAAACAAGATTAACCAACAATTGCGATAATTGGAACTCACACAACTATTTAACACAAACATATGTACAATCACTACATCAAATGTTGTGAATTCCGGCGTGACAAACTACCCTTGAAGAACTGTAGGACCTACAGCATTACGCCTACATTCCTTCTCAGGTTGATGATACAAGTGGAAGTCGTCCGGACACAAACAGAATTACCAACAGCTAGATGACAGATGATATCAATTCAGTATATACAATATGAACATATGTACAAAATCACACACCAAACACATTGAACTGCTCATTGATGCGCTACCCTTTGAAGAATTGTAGGACTTACAGCAGTACGCCTACAACCCTTCTCAGGTTGACGCTCTAGGTTGGAAAATCGTCGCAGAGTTCATTTGCTAACTTCCTTCTATGAGCTATATCCTCAAATCTGAACGGCAACACGCTCACGTCATTTTATCGTAGAATATAGATGACGAACAAACACGCGGCATATCTCATCAACCAAGTGTAGAAACAGAGTAATTTACACCAAAGATAATAACATTCAAATAGTAACTTGAAACTAGAAATGCCTTTATTCATGCAAGTCAATTTAACAATTACCCTCTCGTACACAGTTGGCTTATCTTCACGAAACTGAGCAATATCTTTCGTCTTTTCATATGCACCAATACTATCAAAGTCATTGAACAAGATACTTGAGTCGATGGGCGACTGTTTCATTGTGGATGACAAAACCAACGACGACTGACTGATACCAGTTGATGAAATTAGAAATGGATCAGAAGATGTTGTTGTTCGACTTTCAGAAATTTGTCTACCTGCAAGACCACCACCACTGCTGTCTTTCACTACTAGTTCGGGTTTGGCACCAGCATCTGATGATAGGTGGGCTACATGCTGATCACTCCCACTGACAGTCTTACAATTATGCATGCCTTTTGCAACTGCATCTGCATTTATTTCTACTTCACGTTGTAGTTGTACAGAAACTTTGTTCAACTTAGCAGTAGTAGGCATATCCCTCATCTCATCATGATCAACCAAAGACAACTGTGAAGTATCATGATCATTATCACGAATATTCACTTTACGGTCAATTTTATCATTTTCAAACTCTTTAATAACAGAAGTAGACAATTTTGGTTCCTCCTCGGAAATCCTAAAAGTTTTTATAACTTCACTCTGACTAGTAATACCTTGTAAACTTGTAGGGTCAGAACTGCACTCTGAAGCAGCAACCCTATTCTGTGACACTCTATTCAACAATGGCTTACCAGTTGCAACTACAGACTTCTTCACCGCACCGTTATCGTCACACAATTCGGAGTCAGGCCTGGAGTTTACATTTAGCTTATCACTGAACTTGCTCACTGGTTCACAGTTCACCTTTGTATGCACCCCTTGCAAACGTGTAAAACACAACCGTGTTTGTCTTGCATCTTGCAACTTATCTGTTGAGGATGTACTACGAAACCTGTTACACTCATTAGGTCTATATGCATTACTAGACATCATGGAGCCTTCTCGATATCCACCTCTCTGTGTCTTATTCGTCATCAATGAGTGCGTTTTACCCTCAGACTGCTCTATTCTAGGGGTGAGATGTAATAGACTGGAAAACTTGCTCATAGATTGATTGACACTAGTATTTACCAGTTTCAGGATATCATCAAACTTTGGCTCGATACCCTCATCCTCCATACGGGAGCTCATCTTCACCCACTTCCTTTGCAGTCGAGTAGGTAGACGTCTTGCTATTACTTCTAGTATAAAACTCGAGTTGAGGTCACTCATGCGATCCATCGAAATCATTCCATTCTTGTAAATTAGCAAATTATCTAAAAACTCAGTGAGTGCCTGGGAGTCATCCTGTAATTGACCACCATTACCCTTAACAGCCTCGAATAATTTCCCTGCAATCATCGAAGGTCTTCCAAACCTTTGACGTAATATGCTCATAGCCTCGTAGTAGCCCTCTTTTGGCTTCATAAACTTACAGCACTGTATAGCTCTTGCAGCATCTCCAGTGCAATATCTCATCAAATACATTAACTTCAATTCATCACTTAATAAAAAACTACTCAACATGATCTCAAACTCCTTTACAAATTGTAAATAATCAGTCGGGTTTCCATCAAAACATCGTGGTTCAAATTTAGGGAGTTTGATGTTCCTATTATCCCTGAACGGCGAAACAGTAACATCAACCATGTCATGCTTAACATCAGACACATCATTACAAGTAACAGACAAGTCACCATGACTTACTTTCCTGTTTGCATCCAAGACACTCTGTCCCTTCTTTGACCCGGGCATTGTTGAACTTGACCCAATTCCAAAAATGTTCCAGATATTGCTTGTTCAAAGAGGACTTGACCGGCACCAGGAAAGATGAACGGTGACTATCCAAACTTTCACCAACTTTTTGAATCTGCCAAATCTGTTTCTATCATCAGAAACTGTCAGCCACGTCTCGTAAACCGTTAATGCCCAGCTCTTGCTACGCTCGGGCCCGCGCTGTTCCTTGCAGTTTTTCAGAAACGCTTAGTAATAACGGACGAAAAAACCAAAACAACAATTGGCCACTCGAGAATTCTTTATTGTTACACCAACATATAAATATAATGTTTTCACTAGGGTCTGTGAACAAATATTACAATAATAAATCACAAGATTACTTCTGACTGTTTATTGCTGACTTCTTTCTGAACAGCGACCGATGATACGATGACTGTCGTATTGATGCCTCCGCGAAAATTGGGGAAGTTGGTTTTGAGCAAACAACCATGAATTGATCGTTCAATCTTCAACTCCATTGACAACTGTAGCACCTTGAAGACTTTCAGTAATATCCTGAATTTGGATTGCCAGGTACCTAGCTGGGAATGTTTGTATATTCAGATTTTTGTAACTGCCACGAAGGCACCAATCGCTTTGGTTTTTCGTAATCATCAATTGTAACAGTGAACCCCTCCGACTGCTCGAGTGTCGGCTATTCCACAAATGAAGCATGTAGTCGAAATGTGCTTCTACCATTTTGTTTTGCCCTGAGCTGACCTTCGCGGTTTCGGAATATAAGAACTTGAAAAACACGGAGAGCATAATGGAGGAAACTGGTAAATAAACACTCAGGTGTTGATTAGAGACCCGATGTTCGTGAGTCTCGTGAGTCTTACTAGAGGCATTTAGTAACATAATAATATCACAATGAACTTGTTGTGCATAGTGAAAAATGTATCCAGGAATAGTTGTCGGCATAGCGATGTGAAGGCCTGCCTAGAAGAAAACAGTGTATAATCAACAGAACTCAAGTGAGTAGCATGCAAAATGACGAGAATTTCTTGTCTTAAATTATCATTTGAAAACTCTACCAAAGCACAGCAAGCAGTTACGCCTGTGTGACTGTTGTGACTAATTTGGTTATGTGTGTTATCTACGCGGCAGTTGATACCACCATTCGTATGGGTGCTTTTCCCTTTCAAGTTACTTAAAATTAGTCAACCATAGCTTACTCGGGATAAAGATGGTTTAAAGGTTGACGGTATAGACGTTCGCGAACAGTACTGGGTACATTAACGCAAGCTCTTATATCGACAACTTCTAACCTATTTGAATCTCGCGTATCAAAGACAAATCAAAAGACTACAGTCCGTTGTCCAAATTACGATATATATTTCGGAAGCAAATTGCGGATTGAAGCGGAAGCTAAGCTAGCTAGTTATCGTGCACGACATTGACACGATGGAGTACCAAATGGCTGGGATTCTTAATGGGAATCCTTCAGCCAAACAAGTCGACTTAAACTCTAAGGGTCAGCATCCAATGTTCACAGATGATTCTTATGGTTAATAATTTCGATGAATTATTTACCGCTACAATGGTTCAGGTGTATGGATGTAGGTTAGTATAAAGCAGTTCTCAAGAAGGATTAGAGACGACTCAAGTCGTTTTTTACGTAATTATGTCCAAGCTTTCTTACAGGAATAGTTTTCATTGTGTTCACCAAAAAATTAATAGCCCTTATTCCACGTTCACATTACACATATTACAAACAGCTCTTACTTATTGATGGAAACTGACTGTCTTACAGATGCTGGGTCCACTTTGGAGGAGTGTGAATAACACGGATTCTGTAGCCTAGAGAGGTGCCTAGATATTATTCGAAAGGAGCACTGCATTTCTTCCGATGTCATCTACATTTTATCAAGGCAGATACTGTTGGAGTACATGTTTTGACGGCACAGACCTATTTATGCAGATTCTGATTTCTTCATTATGGACGGAAAGCTTGAAACCTGTTTTAAACTCATCGTAATACGTTTCTGCACTTTTGTAAGCCCTTGCCCGAGTCAGTTGAGGGAGCTGACACCCCTCCTTCTGCGATTCAGTTCCGGTTTGTGACTCAGTGAGAGAATCAGTATTCCACAGAGATGTAGTTTCTGCTCTGCTTTTGAACTGTTCCCCTGTGTCCTCTAAAATGTTCCGACCTGTCCGAAGGAGGATAGAAGAATGATGAGGTTAATGGTCATCTCTACACACTATGGAGTTTCACGAATTTACTTCCATAGGAATCCTCAGATATGGTGTTGCAGTCATCCAAGATGTGATTAGCTTAAGGGTGAAAACTCAGTTACTTTATTTTTCAGCCTGTGAGTTATTGAATGCTAAGGAGACATCTTATATCAATGAGCCGCATCACAATTTATTTCACTGGAATGCATCTCTCTCAGGATTCGATCAAAAACTGTGTATGAGGAGAGTGACTGTAACAATTTGCAGAGATACGGACTGATTAGATTTTCTCACTCTGAAGTTTCCTCAATATGTCTTCACAAGAAGATTACGAGCGCCCTATGTCTATAATGGTACAAGTGATTCTCATTACCCCAGTGGTCACATTTATGGAAATTAACATTCAAACTCCTCTTAAGCTAGTTATAATCAGGATACTGACATATTTGAAGGAGCTTCCAGTCTCCTATCTTTGCGATGTCAATTTCGTGTATTGAATTTCCAAGTGTGCCTCAGTACAAATTTTTGCGCTACGAATTCGAGATGGCACTTCGATGTGTTCTCCGAAAGCTAACACCTTTGGCTTCTTCGGTAGTCTTTGTTAACATTAATCCCTAACGCTGATATATTAAAGGGGTTTACCAGGAAAGTTGGATCGGCCACACACTATGTGCCTTCATTTGAGACAGTGCACATGCCAGAAACTAAGGTTACCACGTTAAAAAGCAATGGGTTTAGAATAGCTTCTGAAGACTGGAATACACCCACTTGCACAGTACGTTATAACCTTGATTCGATTTCGGATTAGATTGGTGTTTGGGTGGATGTGGGCAGTCGCTATGAAACGGAATCCAATAATGGAGTCGCCCACTTTCTAGAGCATATGGCATTTAAAGGAACTGATAAGAGGAGCCAGCAGTCTTTGGAACTTGAAGTTGAAAACAAGGGTGCCCATCTGAACGCATATACATCTCGCGAGATGACTGTATATTACGCCAAATGTTTTGTTGAGGACCTACCTTGGGGTACGATTTGTACTAAATCATAATATACTTTACAGCTGTCGAGCTGTTGTCTGACATACTGAAAAACAGCAGGTTTGAAAGTAGTCAAGTGGAACGTGAAAGAGGCGTAATTTTGCGTGAAATGGAGGTTTGTGTGGTTTTTTCTTTGTTTATCGGGTGTTTAGGAGATTGAAAGTAATTACCAAGAGGTTGTTTTCGACTACCTTCATGCAACTGCTTACCAAGGGACTCCTCTTGGAAGGACAATACTGGGTCCAGTTGAGAACGTCAAGTCCTTAAAGGCTGAAGATATGCGCAATTTTGTCAAACAAAATTATAAGGCTCCACGAATGGTACTGAGCGCTGCAGGAGGTAATTGGAATGTATTTTATAATTACTTTTCAGGAATCGATCACAATAAGCTCTGTGAGCTAGCTGATAAACACTTTGGAGACTTCCCAGCTTCGTACAGGGAAGGTGAAGGAATGCCAAACATCCAGCATTGTCGCTTTACTGGCTCCGACATTCGTGACAGAGATGATGCTATGCCTTTGGCGCATGCTGCCCTGGCCTTTGAGGGGCCTGGGTGGTCAAGCCCAGACACACTGGCACTGATGGTTGCCAGTAGTTTACATGGTGCATGGGATAGAAGCTATGGAGGTGGATCTAACGTTGCCAGCAAACTTGCAGCTAGGTTTTTCAAAGAAAGTTCAGTACACAGTTTCCAACATTTCTTTACTTGCTACCACGACACATCATTATGGTAAGTGACTTCATGTTCACTTTTCTAAATTGGTAGATCACTTTCGGAAGCGAAACTACTTAGGTTATTACAGGTAGTAACCAACATTGATACTTTTGCATAGACTATTATTACTCTCTTGAGTTCCCGACGGAAAATAAGACTTCAGAAGCTCGTCTCCGTTACACTCTGTTCTATGCGGCCTTTTCTTAAACTGGTTCTACGATCCCCCATAGACCTGCATTTCCAACTTACATGGTCTTCATATCACTCGGACGCCCAAATGGTTGCTCCCCATTCTGGTTCCACTGGAGTGCGTGGTGTCATTCCTTCCTTTTACCGTATTCCCGATCCGTGTATTTATTGGGTGACAGGTCATTGATTGGTTTGTTATCAGAGTACCTCGTTACTCATCCTTCTTTGCCAACTGGCTTTCAATGTAGAACAAAGGCAGCTTTTGATAAAAGTGTGCAGCCTGTTAATAATGCATTTGGTGATGCACCAAGTCTGTAGACAGTAGCACAGAATTCACATTAGCGTTTAAAGTTTGTATGTTATTCCTAGTGTTGTTCGATGTAGGTTTCCACACTGATCTCAAAATAATGAACAAGTCTTGCTTTCCAGGTGCGCTCCTTATCGGCTTCGGCATCCTCATCCGTGCAGCCCACAGTAGAAATGATGGCATCTTGGTGAATGAAAAAGGTGTCTTTTTTTAGATTTCTCCCAATGAGAGAGGCTGATGCTTGTTTCTCTTGGTTATTTGGTATATTCATGGCTTCTGTGTTCACAGCCTTTTCTTCCGGCTTGTTGGTTTTACTCTGCAGATCCCTGAGTTCGTATAACATTAGGAATCATTGACGAAGCCCAGACCTTTCAGTGTTTTCTGGTTAATCCAATGTATGCATGTCTTCTTACTCACCACAGTCTCTTGCGTGGTTCAGTCAACCACAATCATGAATATCATCGGTAATAGTACGTAGTCTTGTCTTAATTGACCACTCCGTTGTCTGTCTGTTTGTCTGTTTTCGACATAGAACTTTGCACAAATGTGCGGAAGTTCAAGTCGCCACATTCCGTGTAGCACGCGAAGCAAGAGAAGAAAGTACAAGAAAAGCATAATAGAAACAGTGAGCAGAGGTGTGAGACAAAGGAGTAATAAAGAAATACAAAACAGTTTCATTGAAGATCATAAGTCACAGGGAGTGGATGCATCTGCGCCACTGAGAACGATTTTGAGCCATGTCACCAATTGTTTCCACTCCGTTGTGAATTACTTGGGATTTAGTTGTTGGAGTTCACATATTTTTAAGCATTGATTTTGTAGGGATTTTGTTTGATTGCATGGAGGATTTCATTATCAGCTGACATCAGAACCACCGAAAAAGCAGTGGTTCTCTAACTGATGTCAGCTCATGATGAAGTTCAAATAGCTTTAGGGCACTTCGTAGTGTCGAAGCAGTTTCTAAACCACGTCAATTTCAACGCTGTGGAAGGCCTTTGCACAGCCGATGAAATTGAGTTAGAGAGTTGACTATCATTTCGTGCTCTCTCCGATGATGATGATGCGTAGCGTTGAGGGTTAATTAGCACATGATTTGCTTTCCTGAATCCAGCTTATTTCGGGTGGAGTATTGCATCCAGAGCATCTTTTTTAGTGTTTCCAGGATGACACAACCTAATATTTTGCTTGGTGTGGATAGGAGTATGTTTCCGTACAAAGTTTCTACAAAGGCTTAATTCGACTTTGTGTAGCCTGAAGAGGTAGCCCTTATTCTGATTTGTAGGTTTCTTCCCTTCCAAGCCTTCTGTAATAATGGTGTGAGGATATCCACTGAGCTCCTAGGCTCGTTTTGAGTGCTTCCTGAGGGATTCCTACTGGTTTCGCAGTCTTCGTAAATCTTAATATTATCGAATTCAAGGTTTCTGCTTTTGTCGGAGGATTGGTGTCCACTAATGGTATATCTGGACGAGTTGCGGGCGGTGTTCCATTCAGGATCAACCCATCATTTCCATTGTTTCTCCTCTCAGGTAATTCGGTTCTTTCCAGTATTTTTGTTGAGTGGATCTGTGTTTACCTCCCTTCGGAGAGGGACCTGGTCATCTGATGTAGTGTCCTGATTTCTTTGATAGATGCGGCCTTATTTTTGCTTCATTTGCCAGTGTATGGTAAAGACGTCTTTTGCCCTTCCTAGCAATCTTCATTTCTCTATTCGATGCGTTATACATTAGACTCGGCTTCTCCTTTTCTTGCTAGTCTAAACACTAGTTCGTCTGTTTCACCATCACTCTCCTCTATTAGTTTTCAGATGTCCGTAGATTGTCATTCCTTGTCATGCCTCTTCTACTTTCCTAAAACAGCTATACAGGTTTCCTTCAAAATTACTTCCAGATAGTCCCATTGTTCTTCCACTTAGTCCTTAGTTATTTCTTTTAATGTCTCCGACTTTCTGTTAATGATTACAGTGAAGGTTTGCTTTTTAGGTTCGTCATTCAGTTTCGCAACACTAGGCAACTCTTTAGACTCATCAGGGAAACGGGTGGAAGAAGGCAAATCATTAGTGAAACAATCTCCGAGAAAAATGGCATCATAATAACCTCCCAGGATAGACGACTGGAACGCTAGAAAGAGCACTACGAGAAGCAGTTTAATTGGCCTACAGCCACTCTGAACTTACCGAACATCCAACACCTCCCTGAATGGGATATAGACACATGTCCTCCGTCCCTAACTGAGGTTACTAAAGCTGTCACCAATCCGAAACAAGGCAAAGCAGCGGGACCTGATGGAATGACTCCAGAGGTATTTAAGTACGGGGGAGACAGTTTAATGTCTGCATTAACTGAGGTTCTAGGCAGCGTCTGGGAATCAGAGGAAGTCCCGTCGGGTTGGTGCAAGTCACTGATTATCCCCATATACAAGAAGGGAGACAAGTCTTCCTGTGATAATCACAGAGGGATTAGCTTGACTAATATAGTACCTAAAGTCCTAGGCTCAATAATCATACGTAGACTAAGTGGTGCTCGGGAGGCATAAACACGAGAGAGCCAGGCAGGCTTTAGACCAGGAAGAGGGTGTATTGATCATATCTTCACCCTCCGATAGATTCTAGAACATAATCATTCCTACCGGCGTCCAACAATCATTATATTTCTTGACCTCAAGGCGGAATTCGATTCTGTCGACCGAGAGGTTCTCTGGCGGTGCTTGGCTATAAAGGGAATTCCGAGAAAATACATTGCACTGATTAAGGCACTCTACTGGTACTCATACAGCCAGGTGAGGGCTTACGGCGAGTTGTCATCTGAACTGGTGACGACTAGTGGTGTCCGTCAAGGATGTCCATTATCCCCTTTTCTATTCAACTTCATCATAGATGTACAAATGGAATTAACCCTAAGTGACTTCAGCGATTCAGGGATTGACTTGCTACCAGAGAATAATCTCGTTGATTTAGAATATGCAGACGATATAGTCCTTCTAGGCGAGGACGCTGAAAAAATGCAGAGTCTTCTGAACACCTTGATCTGCAATCTACGAATGTTTGGGATGCGATTCGCTCCCGCCAAATGCAAGATGATGTTACAGGACTGGACTACACCGACTCCTAGATTAGAAATAGGACGTCAAGTGGTAGAGCATGTTGACCGCTTCACTTATTTGGGAAGTACCATCAACCGGTGTCAGCGGGTTGATGTCTGACGAAATCTCAGCACGGATATAGAGGGCTCGTTTTGCATTTTCCAGTTTACGCCGTCTCTGGCGTAGACGAGATGTTCGACTATCGACCAAAGGGTGGGTGTACTGCTCATCAGTCCGCTCCGTCCTCCTTTATGGTTGTGAGACCTGGCCACTCAGAGTGGAAGACATGAAAAGACTAGCTGTCTTTGATCATAGGTGCCTGCGCTCTATCTCCCGTGTGAAGTGGCATGATAAGGTGAGCAATGTTGAGGTTAGGCGTCGAGTGCTAGGTAAACAGGGGAAATGAATCGAAGAAGTTGTGAAGTTACAAAAACTGAGATGGTTAGGACATGTGTTACGTATGCCTAGTCATCGCCTTCCTCGACGAGCAATGTTAGCTGATATAAGGTCAGGCTGGAAAAAAGCTAGCGGAGGTCAAACCAAAACATGGCACCAGTCAATGAAATCTACAACAGTTAGTCTAAGTCACGTAGGAAAGTGTAGACTCCCTGACTGGTTGGGGTCCTCGAGACGGTAAAAACCAATGGTTGGAAACAATTGGTGACATGGCTCAAAGTGATCGTTGTCAATGGCTGGCGCAGATGCATCCACTCCTTGTGACTTGTGATTTCCAATTAAACTATGTTGTTCTTCGTTATTACTCTTCCTTTGTCTCACACCTCTGTTTACTGTCTCTATTATGCCTTTCTTGTACTTTCTTCTCTTACTTTGTGTGCTACAAGGAGGGAGTGTGGCGATTTGAACTGGTGCACATATGTGCAAAGTTCTGTGTGGAAAACAGACAGACAGATTCAGTTTCAGAGTGTTCTTTTGAAGTCTTTAATCGTAATTTTGTAGGATCCTTGACATAAGCACACATCGGACCGTCGTTCCCACTTTGTGTGCACCAGATGGAGTCTGCACAGTTTTGAGGATAGATAAGATTTTTGACGTGTCCTTTTGCTGAGACATGTGTTGCTTTCTGTTATGCGGTTCTAACTGTAGTAGTCACATCGAGTTTGCTAATTATCGGCACTTATCATTGTTAATCTTGTGCTCTCCACATTCTTTTCATAGCTTTTTTGTAATGCAAATAAGATCTATCTAATAATAATAATGATTTACTTTATTCCAAAAACAGTACTTGTGATACAGAATGGAATTTTCAGCATTAATCACAATATCACAATAATCTGCATACATATGTATTTATATGCTACTACTATTGTCTCTTTTTTCTCTCAGGGGAGTTTACCTGACTTCAGAAAAGATGGGTTTGGGAGAATCTGTCCTAGCATTCATGAAAGAATTTATTCGTATGTGTACTCAGGTTACTACACATGAAATTGCTAGAGCCAAAAATCAGTTGAAGACACATCTTCTTTTGCAGTTGGATGGTACAACTCCTATTTGTGAAGAAATAGGTCGACACATGCTTGTATATGGTCGTCGTATACCTGTAACAGAATTATTGGCCAGAATAGACGTAAGTCAAAGTCTTCGCATTGCAATTAATTATGATTCTGTTAAATATGTGGTGTGTGCTGCTGATACAATTTATCGATAGTATATAAAGAGACGTTCATCGTCATAAAAATGTCAAATAGAGGGTAGATAGATTTGACGTCAAAGAGATCAAATGATTCAGTGTCGCGGAAAAATGTGGGAGACACGAAAAGAAGACAAAAGGAACACACTTCGAAGGGCAAAAGTAGCACAACATGAAAGATGTGCGCAAATGATGGTTTGCAGATAAGCTGTACAGAATTTCGCTATATAGCAATACCATATTTGCCAGAAAGATATTCCTTTACCAATTCTCTTGTCTTCTACCGTTAAAAATAGTATTTCTTTTATTTTATTTTATGAAACATCTAAGTTACTATGGTTTTTCTAATCGAGTGCATTCGCCTTAAATTTAAGATTGTTTAGTTTGCTGCTAGTTCAGTATGTTTTCACAACTTCTTTTCAGTTATCTTTGTTAACATCGGTGTTGTCATATGCTCATCGGAATGTCAAAGTTAACAACAACATGAAAACAAGCAAGTGTGACAGTGTCATGAGAGAGTTGTGCAGATTTCTCACGATCATAGACTCATTTTATCACATTTGAAAAATGTTAGACAGCCGTCTGTGTTATACTTTTCAGGTCCATTTAAGGTTAAGTCAGAATGGATCTGTAAAATGCATGATTTAAAAATATATGTTGTCATTGGACGACATTTTGCATACACCTTTCCTTTATGATATTGAAACTCACATTTAACGGGAGAAAAGCAGTTTGCTATTGAAATATTTTGTAGAACGAGCACATGTTTTTGTTGCTGATTATTAATTATTATTATTGTTATTATTCATGCTCAAATATAATCAAAACTAGTGTTATGTTTAAGATTAGTTTTTGACTTGAATCTAAACCCCCCAAGAAGGTTGAACTGAAAATCGGTAGAAAGTCTTACGTTAAGATCACCTGTTAATTAATTACAACTTCGAAATATGTTTTGATAAAATGTGAAGTAGTGATGAAAGAAAAGTTGGGAGGAAAACAACCATAATGTAAGCCCATAATTACACCAATGTTTAACAACACGAGAAGAAAAAACGTTTGCAATTTAATATCTCAACTAAAATCTCCTGTCTAACACCATTCAATATTAGATAAGCTAGTTTGCTAGTTTGTTATTGGTATTACTGTGAGCAATGAATTGTGCTTGAAACGTTATCCAGTTATTAATACTGTATCGCTGTGTTTTATATCAAATAAACTTATCTGAGATGAAATTATATTCTACCACAGTATCAAAATACTACGCTTACATTAACATAACTCATTTTACACGTCTCAGTTTAAAAGAACAAAGTGGACTTTTCATTTAAGGTTAATAAAACGGTAGTAAGAATTTTTGTCAACTGGTACCCCAGTGACCTGGTCTCTGGGTAAATGCTTTATTTAAGTAAACGTTTTATTCGGAAGGCGTTTGCAACTCTTTCAGCTTGCTTTCATAGTTAGGTCCGAATACCAAAAAGAATGCATCGAAACGAAAATAAGGAGTACAAGGGACGCTGTAGAACATTACAGGCATAAACGCTAGTTATTATTCTCTTGGCTGTTTATCAAAAAACAAGAATATTCAACCTAACTTTTTCAGTCTTAAAAATTATAAACTCAGTTTTTTTCAATTATTAGTTTTAGAAGGATTTTGTTTGATTGGTTGGAGGATTTTATCATGGGCTGACATCATTTAGAAAAACATTGGAAATTCAGCAGTGGACTACTGGACAGCTGTCTCCTCCGTCCTAGTTTGGGATTCTTGAGCAGTACGCACTCAACGCCTGGGTTCAAACCCAGGACCTTCTGGTTACAAGGCAAGCTCGTAGACCATTAAGCCGTGGGCTAATGGTTCGAATCCCAGTGGCTTAATGGTCTACGAGCTTGCCTTGTAACCAGAAGGTCCTGGGTTTGAACCCAGGCGTTGAGTGCGTACTGCTCAAGAATCCCAAACTAGGACGGAGGAGACAGCTGCCCAGTAGTCCCAGGTTTTCCAATAGTACTCTAGCTGATGTTAGCTCTTGATGAAACCCTCCAATCAATTTTTTTGACTTTCTATGAATGTTTTAAGTACTTATAAAATTTACGATAAAAATGTTCCTACTGAGTGAGAAATGAGTTACTTATCTGCATTAGCACTATCGTTTTTTTGCACTAATGTACTGATCCAGCGTCTCAAAGATTGAATATTAGGTAAGTTAATTTGATCAAACGTACAGTGGTACTGTATTAACGACTTACTGACGGTGTAAGTACAATCACAATTTGGTTATGGTTATGAGCTACGAAGTGTGCTGGGAATATCACCAGTATCATCTTTTATTATATCAAATTGAATAATTTTCTACAATAATGCACAAATCCTATTCTTTCGAAGATTTTTGGTCATAAAATGTCTGTAATTCTTTTGTGTAGGCACTCACGGATGACCATATTAGGGAAACATGCACAAAATACTTCTTTGATAAATGTCCTGCCGTCGCATCCATTGGTAAGTCGATTATCTTACATTCAGTTCTGAAAAAAAAGACGTATTTTGAGGCTCCTATTTTAGTTATAAAGAATATACTGTATATAAAATATGTAAGAGAAAATTTAGTAGTTACTCAATAAACATGAACTTGTTCATGCTCTTAACAATAAAATACATTTTGTGTATGTGCCTTAGGCAATTAGTCGAAATACCTATAAACAAAGCCCCACTGATGTCTTCATATCTCCCATTTTTAACGCTCTTTTCTTTAACCATAAAGTAGGGCGGAGCGAAGCGCTTCACGGTATACACGTTCTTTGCTGGATAGTCAGATATCTTGGGGGTGGGGGCAGATATGGTGAGATTTCACAAATTCAAAATTAGCCTATGATATGCGTTCTGAGATTTCGTCAGTAACCTCACCATTAAGACTGACTCAACCTCCCAAATAATAAAGTACGTGCAATCATCACTTTCTTACCCTTAAGTCACTACATACCTGTCCTTTAGCATCACATTACGCGCAACAGGTGAATTTCATGTTAAATATACTAAGATTTCTGGAAGACTGTCCTCACCTAGAAGGACCATATCATCTTTGTGCTCTAGACCCACGTAGTATATATATATATATATATATATATATATATATATGCTTCCGTATGGTGGTTTAGGATCTTCAGTGTCCCACATAATAAGCCAAGATTCTTATTTGACGTTGTTATATTTAGCCTCTTGTTACTGGCGGAACAGTTATAAGCCTAGCAGTTCGCTTACAAATTTTATCCACTATTTAATTAGTTTACCAATCAGTTGCTTCATAGATCGAGTACATGTCCGTTCTAATGCAAATTCTAGGTTCGCCTAAACTATAGTTCTGTATGTTTAACAATGGTCCTCACCTCACCGACGATTCTATCATCTCTGCGTAGAAAGTTGAGTATGACATAAGCCCACTTGGTGGTCTTTTAGAACCACCTATCCTGCTGACATTTCAAAGATGTAATTGGATTACTCAATAGCGTTTAGTTTCAGCAATCATTTCTCCACAATCTGCATTTAGTCTTCGTCAAACTACTCTATAGTCTACTCACTTTTTGGTTCGCATCTTCATCTAGCACTTAACACCATTAGTGCTCATGCAAAGATTTCGTCAGTCACTATAAGCACAAATGTAATATTGCAACCTCTAAACTAACAGTGTGTTGTTAAAGTTCTTGTTGATACAATAGGATTTTCGTTTCATCATCAAACTGTTGTCAGCAGCAAAAATACTTTACCAATACCAGCGTGAAAAAACTACCAATATATTCATGATATCGTCCTTCCACACATTTCCATAGGTGTGTTTCGTTCATTGATTTTTTCTTTAGGAAGATTACAATTATGTGTGACATGAAATTACACTGAAGAGCCTTTTGAAGTCATGCTTTTGTTGTTTTGTATCTTCATCTAGTAACTGTGTCATCGGTTACTATTTATGGGAATGATCAACTCTTGTCTTTAAAACATCTGGAATAGTATAAAGTACCGATAGCAATAGTACATATATTATGACATATATACACATGTATTTAGCTGTCATCATATTAGTTCTTGTCAGTTTTGATTTAATTTTATCGCTTATTATTAAATCTGTATAATTAATAGAGTTAACGCTTTGTCATTTAACATTTAATGTGTACCTTTTATTATTATTATTTTTTTAAATGTCTTGTATATTTTAGGTCCAGTAGAAACAATGCTTGACTATGCTCGAATTCGTGATCAAACTTGGTGGCTGCGTTTGTAGGGAAACAGTTTTGTTTGTTTGTTTGTTTGCTTAAAAAAATGATTTAGAGAAACTTTTGTCCGTCAGAAAAAGAAGAAGAAAGAGGAGCGTCGCACTATATTACACTTACTGTACGCCATTTAATGAATCACGCAGTTAGTTCTGTGATTTATATTATACAACAACTACAACAGCAACAATATTGTCTTGTGTGTTTTAGTTAGTAATATATATGACGACCTTTGTGGAATGTAAAATATGGGATTACGCTATGAGATATTTTTTTCTGAGAAATTAGATAGTGTTTCGTATTGTCGGCTGTCTTTTATCACTAGCTTTTGTTTTTAGTTTGGATATAATAAAACTTTAAAATAACATCGAAAGAAATTGTATGTAGATCATGATAATTGTCAGTCTAGGAATCTGCTTGTTTGTTCCTCCGATTAGTGATACCTGCCGTTCTTGCTAGAGTTCAATATAGAACAAAAGGGTTGATTAATGCACCCATTTAAGCAATGCTGATAGTAATACTGTAACCGAAACTACCTCTAATTGTGCTGATTCTATGTGATTTAATACATAATGCTATATACTTTTACTTTACTTCGGCTATCTCCTACGGGGAGGATGAGCCGGCTTCATGAACATCTCGAATCATCGCTGCCCAGGCGCGGTGATCTGATGCAAGGTTTTGCGACATGGTTATCCAATTCTTGTTCCACAGACGGAGTCCGTAGACGGTTTGTAGCCCCAGGCACTCCATATCAGCCTTGAGTGTACCAAGCCATGTTTTCAGCTGTCCACCCCTGCGACATCGCTAAGATGGAAATGGCGATGGATTTAGAACTGATTTGACCAGATCGTCATCTGGTCGGCGCAGAACATGGCCAAACCACCAAAGGCGACGTTGTTGGACCAGTACTGGAATTCGGTTGATATTGTAGAGAGTTCATGAAGTTTCATGGGAATTAGGTACGAGTGATGTCCCCAGAATCGCTCGGCCTTTTGTTTGACAGTGCAGCTCTAGCCTTTACACAACCAAGTGTGACTCACAAGGTAGTAGGAGTGGAGTAGGGAGTCCACTATCCATTGGCAGCCGGTGACCGGAGTCCGGTCCATACGCCTTTTTGAATAGGGCCAGACATCCAGGGCATCCAATAAGCCCATTGTCCATACATCTGCCGGTGAGCTTCATACGCCAGTCGTTGGAGGTTTGGAATCAGGGTTTAGCCATCTCCCCTAGACTGTCATCCAATGGACAGTCAACCCGGTGAAGAGCGCCGGGCATCCGCTTTTGCCCTCTCACTTCGGTGAAAACACCTCCGCCACGTAAAGGCAGTGAGTAGGACTTCCTCAGGAGAGGCTATGTAAGACACCCGGTCATATGGGAGCATTTCAAGAGGTGTATGGAGGGGTGGCGAACCCGCAGCGCAAGGCACCCACCCCCGACCATCCTGAGGCTTTGGAGGCTATATACTACTGATTGATTGAAATGAGTAGTTGAATGCTATTCATATAAATTAATAATGCCCAATTGACCAGATCGAAGTGATCTAAACATCAGGCGGCTGTTTCGCTCGTTCGGAACAGAGGTCATCAGTAGTGTACACAGCTTGATAGCTGTTTCCAATCTCTTAATTCTTTTGAATATTGATATAAGACCCATTGGTTTCAGTACTCGAATTTTAGCCCACGGGTACACAGTTCGAAGCCCGCCTCAACTATTTCAGTGAAGGCAGGTTGGCTGTGTCACTGACCTTATAACAATAAGTTTAGCTCATGTAACGTGGTATATGAAAAATATGTTCCAGGCAACTGTGATAATCCAATCATTTTTCTGAATAAAACATAGACATGTATCATTTTGTTCTTCCTATATGAGGTAGTTATAGAGTGTGAATATGTTTGTGCTTTATGTATCTGATATCAGAGCTGGGTGATGCGATTCTCTTGTACATTGTACACTTCTGCTTATAGTGTTAGGATTAATTATTTTTGCAGTCGACCGTAGATCTGGATTTCTTACCAAGGTAGTGAAGCTGTGTTCATCTTTAAAGAAGTGGTTCAAAGTTAGTTATTTTTATGGTAGGTGAGATTTTCTTCATTCACTCAGAAATCTGAGTGGTTTTCCCTCTTCTTTATATGTGAAATGACGTAAGATGTTAATGTTTCAGATTTAAGTAACTGATTTTCTAGGGTTTAGTGATACGCTTTCGTCCTAACATAACTTGCTAGTCGAAGCAAATGCTTAGGAAAATGTGAATGCTTATCTTCGCGTAATTGTGACCTGATAGATATGAACATGCATATCTACCTTCCTAATTATTTGTACTTAGAATGAGATTTGTAGGTAAGTTGCGTAACTTGCCAACAACTTTAAGTGCCACTGAAAAGAAGTCCTGAACAGTTTTCCCGCCATATTTCTACAGTCTGTATATATTGATTGGCTGTTGATAATGTCTACCTTCATGAACCACGTTAACATGAGATATTTTAGCCTAATTTAAGCACGTATTTATTATCTTTAGTGTACAAGCTAATCATTTTATACAAGTGTACATAGTATTGCCTGCTAGTTGTGATTATTTATGTTGTCTGTTTGCTTAATTGTGCAATTTCAATTATTTATAAGCTCCGCAGCTCGAATCTATTAAGTCACCGGTCTCTTCTACAATTATTTTTGGCTGTATTCGGGTTAGATTAGAAGAGAGTAAGGTGTGATCAGGAGAAAAGTTGTATCGTTTCATGGTTTGCGAGATCAATACTGATTGACTGCGATATCTGGAAAGGGATTTTCTAGAGAAGTGATGTTCGAAGGGATGTGGTTAGAATGGAAAAAAGTTTTCGGGTCAAGGTTTGACAGTAGTTAGTGAGGTCTCGAAATCGTTGACAATAATTCTGATATATTCCTTCATTTTGTCACCTTGCATACTTTAAAAAATTTCACTGATCTTTATTCGTCTGTCCCCTTCCACATACATCTTATTCTCTAATCTCTTTATGTGTGCTTTTTTGGGGCTGGCTTACTTGGTTTGAGAAACCTTTATGTCTTTCCGTTAACAAGTATAATATGATCGAGAGTCTGATACCCTGAGGGTAGCTGTACTTTGATTTAAGTTTTTTTTTAATCTTTCTGTTTCTCCTTTGGTCTATAGTATTTTTTGTCTGCTGGTATTTTTTATTTCTGTCTTCTATTTTGTTACTCTCAGCCTTGTGAACTTCGATTTCACTAAGAGATATATAACAATTATTTTTCGATAAGTTTGTATATATGTATTTAAAAAAAGCTGCAGATTGTTTGGTACAGTTTTCGCATGGGTTTCTTAAAGAAAATTACCAACATGTAGATATTTTTGTTTTCTATCCAATACTCCCTAGGGAACAAAAAAAATTTAACTGAACAGTTGTTATCAATGACTTTTTCTTCAGACTCCATGAAAGTTGTAATACCCTGGCCAGTAAGTGTTAATCAAAATTATATCATGAACTGCAGGGTTGGACTACATGGACTCCCCGCTGAAAATATAAGGAGTGAAGTGGTAGAACGTGTTGACCACTTCACTTATTTAAGATGTTGTATCAGCCACATCGAGCTGGTTGTTTCGCGTATGCCAGTTTACGTCACCTCTGGCGTAGACCTGATATCTGGCTGTCAACTAAAGGGTGTGTATACTGCTCAACAGTCGGCTCTGTCCTCCTTGATGGTTATGAGACATGGCCACTTAAAGTGGAAGGTACGAAAAAGGCCAGTTAGTTTCCCTTAATAATAGGTGCCTGTGTTCTATCTTCCGTGGGAATTGGTATAATAAGGTGAACAATGTTGAGGTTAACCTCCAGTGCTAGGTAGGTGGGAAAAGAAATCAATCGACGAGGTTGGGAAGTTACACCGATTCAATTGGTTAGGACATGTGTTAAGCATGCATGCTTAACCAATGCCTTCCTCGACGGGCAATGTTAACTGACTGACATAAGATGAATCAACTTGGAAAAGAGCAAATCAATGGTGGTCAAACCAAAACATGGCTTCATCAGTCAATGAAATCCTCAACAGTTAGTTTAAGCCATCCATGTAGGAAGGTGTAGACTTTCCGAGTTGTTGGGGTACTCAGGATGGTAAAAACCAATGACTGGCTAGAGACAATTTGTGATATGGCTCAAAATCGTTGTCAATATCTGGCGCAGATGCATTCACTCTTTGTAATTTATAATATCCAATAAAATTCTATTGTTCTTCCATATTACTGTTCTTTTTGCCTCATTTCTCTGTTTATCATTTGTCTTTTGAACCCCTCTTCACTCTCTTCTCTTCCTTTGTGTGCTACATGAAGTGTGACAACTCAATCTGCTGCACATCTGTGCGGATTCCCATGTTGAAACCAGTCGGTCAGTCATATCAGAAACTGTACTAGGGTTTAATTATACAATGGGAGAATAGTCTGTTGGTTTTAATTATCATTTAAATTCATACAGAAAGTACAGTCACTAAGAACATAATTAAAATTTGAATAGACAATTAACTGACATGCTTGTGGATGTATAACCAACAGAACGTGTTATATTCAGTGGCTTAAGAGAAATATGATTTGGGAGAAGTAAGGATTCATGTGCTATTGAGTCAGGCCCCCGTAGCTGAATGGTCTACAATCTTGTATTATATCCGGAAGGGAGGCGCGCACTGTCGATATGTTCCAAACTAGGACAGAACACCTGTCCAGTTCTCCTCGGCTTTCAATAATACTTTAATCGGTATCAGTTCGTGGTCAAACTTGAAATGTGAATACTTCCAAAATGAAGACGAATATTTGGTACATTGAATGTAAGTTCGAGGGATGACAAATAAGAAATGTAATGATAAAATGAAGTAGTCATTTAATAAGATGTGACCAAATAATACAGACATGATAGACTTACTGTCAATCCAAACAATATCTGTCAAGTGGGGTATTGTAAAGGGTTTGGTGCGTACCTGACATTAGTAACAAAGAACTAAGTTGATAAATAGAGTTTGAATAGGCAGAAATGAGGTGTATGTCTGTCATTAGGCAGCAATAAATTCTCTGTGTTTCTTACAATTTTCGGCTGAGTCGAAATTTTCTGTGATCTCTTTGTTTGTTGGTGAAAGGTTCGGGAAAGAACAAGGTTTTAAAGCAAGTCGTTATTAATCTTCTCTGATTAACTACTTTCTGTGCACAGTGATCGTGACTGTATAAGTAGGTTTTTTTAAAACTGTAATTAATCTTACGATAAATGTGGTTGAAACAGAATAACTGGAAATTTGACGAGAATGTATGTGAATTTCATTCTATGAAGATAAAACTCCGCTTATCTAATTTGAACGTTTGATCGAATTGTCATTCCTAGACAAAAATCTTCATAAGTAAACTGTGAGAGATTGTCGACATCAGATAACATCAGAAGACATAATAGTTGAAATTTCTTATTCTTTGCGTAAAAACAGATATACTACTAATTGGTCGATATGAGTAGTTGCATACCACTTCTATTAAGCAACTAATGACGCTTGCTAGCTAGATCGAGGTGATCTAAACACTGGTCGGCCGTCCTGCCTCGTTTAGGGCCGGGTCAACAGAGGTGTGTCGGGTTTTGAGATAGTTTAGAGAGCCGAGTCATTTCAAACCACCCGATTTCTAGTTAGTTAGAAACTTGTGTGAGGGGGTGACATTGTCAATCAAATTCACCAATTAGTTAGTGATTTCTGAGCTGAATCAAAACTAGGTACACCGCTGATGCGATAAGCCTTGAACGAGTAAAACAGCCGTCCTGTGTATAGATCATTTCAGTCTGTCTAGTAAGTACTGCTGGCTGATGCAAGTGGTATCATTATTCCCTTCGTTCCTAGTTGAACACAGGGCTTCAACAGCACATCTCCACTTTCTTCTATTTCCTTCACTCGTCGTCAGCTGAGTCAACGACTGACCATAATCTTTCATCTTGCACGATCTCCCCTATGACACCCTAGAATAACCCACATGTCGTTCCCTATTGGGTTCCACTCGAGCCATGTCCTGGTGCGAGATATCGTTCAATGATCTCAACGTATGCCTGAGCCGTCTCTATTTTCCTCATATTTGTTGAGCAATCGGCCCTTGGTTGTTTGGTTTCCAGCCAGAGATTTTTCGCTCTAATTCTTTTTAGCCGGCCATTTGATCTCCATTATGGAGCCAGCGAAGGCAGCTGTTGACGAAAGTCTGCCGTAGTCTGTTGGAAATCCTTTTCGTGACACACTGGCCAAGTTTCTAACCCGCATAGAAGAACTGGAGGACTTCACATGTGTGTTGAACAAAATCCGAATCTTGTTGTTTATGCTGAGGCTGAGTGCAGAAGATTTCCAAACTGGCTTCAGGTTGATAAATGCATATCTTGCCTTTTCGATTCTGACTAGCTCTGACGTCCTCATCCATTCCGTCTGTGGCTGAAACCGTGCTTCTTAGATAAGTGTTATGCAACTACTCATTTCAATCAATCAGTAGTATACAGTTCTCCGAGAATGTGATTGCATTCTTGCTTACCTTTCATGATATTAATCAGATCATATACATTGACCTGAATAATTTTAATTTCCAAAGGAAACTGTGGTGAAAATGTCACCCGTTGAGTTGTGTTCATTGTGAATTGTTTATTTGACTCTATCCTTATGAAAATGTGTGTATACAGCTTAACTGAATGTTATTCAGTTAACTGTTTTAGGGAGTGTTTTACCGTCGTCAATTAAAGTGGATGATCTATCTCTTAGTGATGATAAGTTGTTCTTCAGGCTTATTAATGTAAACATTATTTCCCATTAAGAAAGAAAATAGATAGCTGTTTAATTAACTAACAGCTCCTTCAATATTATTATTATTATTATCATAAACGAGACTTTCGTGTCTATCTTAAGCACGATATTAAGAAAAATACAGTGTGTTATCGTATTTCCTATTTTTTGCATATACTTTGTTGCAAATAAATAGACTGTCTGTATAGATAAGAAGAGAGAAGAGTTTTATACATATTTGCTGCTGAAAAAATTCGTTATCTTTATACATAAACCATTAAACTGAACGGATAAGTATACCTTTTATGCTTAGCTTAGCAATTCTTTAGCTGCGAGTAATATTCCTATTGAATGCTGATGAATTAGTTATCCTAAGATACATTAGTATAAGAGTGTTAACTGACGGAAACTACGACAGTTAAATAATTCATTCAGATATCTATAAAACACAAATCGAGGAGGCGAACCAGTTCATACGGAATGAACAAAATTTAGTTTTGTTTCACCAACTTAATACTGACTGAATGCAGAATAGTCATCAAAGCACTTCTGCAGTAAATTTTTTCTTTAAAAAGGGCTTTTTATCATTGTATTAATAACTTCTTAGGAAAATAAGTTTAATTATTCACTTTGACGATTCTGATGTCTATTTTGAAAACTCTATTTTTTTTCTCTTTAAGCTGCACTATTCTTCAAGCAACTGATATTCATTTAAATCCCACTGAAAATTGTACTTAAAATATCACTATAAGTTTTGCTTGAAAAGCAACTAAATCAGAAGACAGGTGAGCTGAGTAATAGCCACTGTCCATCACTTTGACAAACAACACTTCCCACTGATAACAATTTGCTAATTTCAAAGCTAACAGTTACCCTTTGAAGAAATCCCTTAAAACAACTCATGATTGACTTTTTGTCGTGGTCAGTGTGTAGATAGATGACTTCACTTTTACCCTAGTAAAACAAAAGTTGATTACAGGCTTGACAGATTTAATCTATTCGAAGTATGTCTATAAAAAATATTTTACAGTTTGGCACATACATATTTTTTTTTAAATAGCAGGACAGTACTTAATTAGGAATATTTTTTTTCACTACATATTGTTTTGCAGTACCGACTGGCATTGTGATGCTATACAAAAGCACATGTTGACTAGGTTTGAAATTTCGGTATTATTTGTGTCGATGTGATGATAAACAGTCTACTGGGAAGTGTTTCGTTTTCATCGACCGTGTCGGTTGTGACAGATTTAATTCTGACCAATCAGCTTTCAGATTTTCAGAGTTTATATTAATCGCGTAACCAATGAAAACAGATTCAAATATTTATTTAAAATTACCTTATAGGTTAAAGTATTTCTATGAAGTTGATCCTAGTTTGGTGTTATCATAATTTTTTTGTTTTGGAGTTATTAATATTCATTGAGAATATACCAATAACAAAAACTGTCATAACACTTTTTTGTTGAAAATCTCCAATAATATGATGACATCTTTTTGCATTGTAATCCACATTGGAATATTGATCATTTGTGAAATTTTTGTTTAAATGGAAGTTATGAATGAGAATTGTAGTGAATTATCCAAACCAACAATTGCAAATTCACTGAAGATTATATCATTTTCTAGTATAAAACTATTTGCTATTATTATTCAACTAATTGGAATATCATTAAATGTCTTTGTATTGTATGCATTACTCAATGTTAAACTTGGTTCACGTTTAACAACTCTGTTATTGAGTAATCAATGTGTATTCGACTGTTTAATATGCATGTTGGCTTTGTTAAAAGTGCTGAAAACAGAACGTTGGTATACTGGGTATATAATTATTGATAGTTTGTTGTGTTATTTATGGTTTAGTTATACTCTATTTTGGTTTGTAGTGCTATTAAGTTTAAGTAATATGATGTGTACAGCATTGGATCGACTAGGCGCTGTTGTCTATAGTCGTACATATCAACTACGTCAAAATGTCTATATAACATTAGCCTATACAAGTATTCTAATCTATTCACTAGCCCTAGTCTCTATTAATCCCTTATTATTACAATATCGTGATAAAAAGTGTTATGATACCATTTTATATGATAAAAAGTGGATAATTATATTAATGAAAGTTGATTCTGTCCTATGGCCATGTCTCACTTACTTATTCCCATGTATACTAACAATAAGTGTCTATGCTAAAGTGATAACCATTTTAAGAAATTCAACAGTTTATCGTCAAACAAGTAGTCATCGTGGAATTAATGACAATAAAAGCGCTACTGGCAGCAGTAACAACAACAACAACGCCAGCACCAATAACAATAGCACTGATAATCATAACAATAGTCATCGTAAAGCATCAAATCGTCAAACACCTAAATCATATAATAAACAGAAACGACATCGGAAAATTGCTCAGTCATTAACAATTGCTACATGTATTATGCAAACAATATTTCTTATCACACATTCATATGATCGAATTTATTACTTTCTTGGTATACATCGGTGGATATCTTATCAGATTGGTTGTACAACTCATGTATTTGGTTTATGGTTGGTAACATTGAATAGTTGTATAAGTCCAAGTGCGCTTATCTTCACTGTACGTCCATTACAAGTATACCTTTTACAAGCAATGAATCGATGCTGTTGTGCATGCTCGAAAAAATTCAATATTCCTGTATCAATTAATTATCCAACAGATTATTCTGAAGCACATTTAAGTAGAAATGAACATGAAAATAGAACTAGTCGAATTGAATCAAGTATAGCATCAAAAAAAGTTTCAAATTGAGGCAAAAAAACAACCCAAAATACTAGAAGAAAAAACGTACATCTAAACAGATTACAAAAAGGGGGAGAAAATTCTCTAATAAGAGGTGATGTCTTCATTTTCCACGGGATTTCAGCAATAATGAATATTATGGAAATATTGCCAATATGTGTACACTTATACTAACCGACTAGAAATTCATATTGTAATAAGTCATTTAATATTGGTTAATAGTATCCTGTCGACTGTGTATAAAATAGTATGTATAATATTATCTTCATTTTTTTTCTCCTGATATATTTTCTTAAATTCCGGAATATAAAACATATTGAGTCATAGGGATTATTTAAAAGGCGGTTGCAGCGGCGAAAATTTTCTTTTCAACGAAGTTATCAACTAGACTCATGTATATTCATGTATTTATAGTAAATGTATGAGAAAGTTTCCGGAATTATTTCCGGTCAAAGGTTAAGTCGGGCCACATATCGCTGACATCGTCACTGATAAGCATTTGATTTCATGCCAAAAAGTGTGAGCATCCATTTTATCCACAGGCAAAAAAATAGAAGTTTCAAAAGACTTTATGCGCGCACGTCTAAGTATAAAAATTCCACAATACCATATCTGGTGTTACATATTTTATGTGATGGAAATAGTATCAGGCATGAGCTAACTAACCTTTTTATCACTAGTAAATATACAATTTTCTCCACCCTGATGACATCAAACTTTACTGGCATTATTCTTATATTTATGACCCTCTCACTATTTTTTTGTTTTGTTTATTTTCTCATAAGTGTAAACATCATTTAAGTTGTGTAATAATTGTTATTTTTTGTTTTTCCTTTCACCATACTGTATGAAGAGAACATTAGATGTAATACTCTAAAAATCTCCCATACTGCATAGACAATACTGTTTGAAACAAACCCACTATTATTATTATTACGCGTCGGTGGCACAGCGGTTAGGACGCTCGCCGACCATGCACATGGTCCGGGGTTCGATCCCTGGCCGACGCCGCACTCCTTTACCTCGCTAAGCCAGGAATAATGCTGGTAAAGAGAGGAAAGGTTGGGTATGAGGCTAGCATTTCCATCCTGAAACTTCAAGCCACTAGCTTGAAGCCTTATGTTCCACTGGGGAACGTGAAGGATAAAAAATTATTATTACAGTTATTATTTCCATTTTCTACTCTGCACATTTTTGACTTTATTCCTACCGTATATGTGAACAAATTCCTGTGGTTAATTTTATTTCTATTTTGAGTAAATTAGATCCAAGATATTGTGACAAATGCTGAGAATCTCATTCTGTGTTGTTCTTGGAATAAAGCAGGTTATTATTATTATTATTATTAAAATGGCTAAGTGCAATGAAGTGCCAATTTGACTTGTGACCTGAAATATTTTAAGAATAGTATTAGTACCTATCTTCTGTCTATACAGTCCTAGTTGATGACTTCGTCGAAAAGAAACACTTTTTTCTCACTGCAACCGTCTTATGTAATAATTTCTTAAAATCTATAAATTAGATATGCATTTATTGTTTATTTGTAAAGTGTATAGTTGACATGGAATGGAACATGTTCATTTTGATAGTCTTGTCTTTATTTTCTTACTTCTCCTACTGACATACAATCGGGGTATGTTTTGTGAAAATTGTTGAATTTTGTTAATTAGATAACGATGAATTGACATACATACACACACAGATACACTAAACTGTGCGCTACAATGATGGATGAACTTTGTGTTCGGAGATTTCGTTTTAAAATTAACTGGTACATTCTTTTTGCTTTTTTTTTCGGCGAATGTTTTAAATTTGTATATTTTTGTAATTTTTAAATTCCCATTTACGCATTTACAAAGAAAAAAAACAATAACAAATTAAGCGAAAAAAATATATAATTCCTTTTCAATTAGTTTCTCATCCTCGGCTCTACACTAATAGAGGGTTTTGTTACAACATCATCAGGTATAGGCGGGTGTATGTGTGGTGAAATTGACAGGTTAAAAGTCTTCAAAACAATTAACCAGTAGATGTTAGTAACAAGATATCTAAGTTTTGAAGGAGGGGGGTGATGTAAACCGACTAATTACGGAATTCAAGATAAGTTAATTCCCAAGGGTCAGCAACAAATTATTACACAATCAAAAAATTTGTAAAATAATGTTGACTGGGAAGAATAGGATGACTCAGTAGAATTATGTAAAATACAAACAAGTTAATAAAAATAGAGAGAATTGTAAAAATAACAAAGTCAGGAAGTAATTACAAGGGGAGGGGGAAACTCCTTTTTAAAACTTAATACTTAAAGAAAGTGGTTGTACACAGATTTGGGTTGTTCAAATGAATTCCGATCGCCTCTGGTGTATGTAAAAGTAGTACTCGCAGACCATACAACAGGTTGGGTGATATACGATAAGTAACTTTAAAGGCTTTACTAGACTCGACTTGATATGCAGTATCGATGAGATAAGCTAGTATTGAGCTGCGTATCGCTTTATTTGGACCTTTGGTAAACCAAGATAGGAGGTGTTCAGAAATTCGACGATGAACTTGCCTGACCGTACGCCCAATGTAATTAGCTCCACACGGGCAGTGAAACTGGTAACTACACATAGAAAAGGCGGAACAGGGCAGTTTGTCTATATTCCTTGAACTAAGTATTGGTTGAGTAGTGAATAAACAGCATAGCTTAGATACGTGGAAAGTCCTTTTGAAGGCCCCTCTCAGACGCTGTAGTACGATCTAACTATTAAAATCACTTGTGAATTGTACATTTTTATATTTCGAGTGGGTTTATAACATACCTTAACAATGACGCTTAGTGCTGCATTACTCTGTTCACTTAGCAACTTAAGTATGATATTATTCACATATATGAAATCAAATTATAAATCGGGGAAATTTTTATGAGGTATTTATTTGGACAGAGTTCGCGACAGTAAATGTTACTTCATTGTCTTATCTGGATTTCAGGCTTCAAAGTTTTACATATAAAATTGTATTTTCATGATTTTTTGTTGCTATATGCGGTCTACTACATCAGGAATTCTTTGTTTTAACTTGTGTCCAAGTGACACACATTCAAACTTGGGTATTTAGACTATGCCATATTATCACTCTACATTTCTTTGGTTTCAAAAGCATTACTGTTTGAATAGCTTAGAAGAAGAAAAATAGTTGATAGTCAGGAGTGAATTTCGACTGCAAATAAACTCTAATGATGCATAAAAATCAATTAATCTTTTGTTTGCTAAGTGAAACAAATACAAGATGCATGGGAAAGTTGTGCAGTTCACAGTTGCACAATCTTTTCACAGTGTGCATTTGTTGCATTATATTGCAGTCTATAAGGATATGTGACAATATTATTTTAAAACTAATGGGAGTCAACTCATTGCTCGACAAACTCTGGGTGTCAGTGGATTTCTCATAAGATTCGAACATAGGGCTTCCAACGTTTTCGTTTGAGCAGCAGCAATGTTATTATTACTAGGTGGAGTCGCTAGCCTCACACGCCTAATGTTCACTTTCCCCAGCTAACTACTAGCTAGATAAGGTTTATGAGTGTACTGGCCAGGAATCGAATCCTGTCCTCCCGTATTGGTGGCGAACATTCTACCGTCGAAATACGGAAGCTACCAAAGAGACTACTGAATAAGAAAAAATCTGGTGGATATTGACTAGCATTGGAATCCAACAGGATGCGCATTTCGTCCCACTCATGGCTCGTAATCCGGATGTACCTCTATTCCCCAGTGAGTGATTATGTTCCTACTGGGACTCGAACCCAATACTCGTCGTTACAAACACCAAATCACTATCCAGTAGACCACTCAGGCCATGGGAGCCACCTCTTGTACAATAGGTCTCAGTTATTATCTAATTCGGTTTGGAATTCCCTGTTGAATGACTGTTTGAAATGATGAGTACTGAGTTCGAGTCTTAGTGAGAAAATCAACTCTCACTGGGGAATGCAGAGACATCCGGATGACGAGTTCCTAGTAGGACGAAAAGTGCATTCTGCTGGATTACACTGGTAGTCACCATTCACTAAATTATTTCAGGTCAAATCCACAGATGTTGTCGAAGTATCTGCATAGGGAGCCGACAGATCAACAGAGGCCGGACGCGTCGTTCGAATCAATCAACGGATAGGTTTAAACTGAATTAAAGAATAGAAAAAAATTCGGCAAAACAGGAAAAACAGATACTTACAGAAAACTGGTGGAATATCACAGTCGACGGGTGATTGATTATGTGTCATCATTACCAGATAAATATTTACAATAAGCGGAAAAACATTGTTTTTCGACTCAATATTTATCTTATTTTTGTTAATAGTATTGCCTCAAATGAATGATCATTTCCACCTATAGCTACTGTTTATTCCTTCTGAAAACTCATATATAGCCACCTTTTGTAGAATGCGGGGTGGTTATTGAATGTTATTGTTTTCTGTTCTCACCTAAATAGATTGACTGTAAACTATTTTTTTTTTAGTGTTGTAATACACAAACTTGTCATAAATGTATGGTGATAAACTACGCTAATTGATAATTCGCTTTTAAAGAAAATACTGAGAAACCCTCCAAGGTCTAAAAGGCGTAGATACTTTAATCAAATTATCACCAGCTGAGAAGAAAATAACTTATCTAATAAAATCACACGCCAATTACAAACTGTAGTTCTTACTCCACACAATCTGTAGATACAAATTAGATGATAATGAGTTTTGACATTTATCAAATTCATGGTTTAACAGGGTAAACTGTGAACATAGGTCTGACTGGAAAGATGAGTAAAAAGCCGATTAAGCAGCCTGCTTAGACAGAATGAATCTGTTGGGTAGGGATGGGCAGCCAAGTGATAATCCACGTGGTCTGGTTTTCATCCAGACAGCCTTCGGTTTCCTGACAACTTTTTCACCCTGCTCCAGGTCTGTCCACATGCTTTCATCTCCTCCTCGCATGACCTCCTCCAAGTCACCCTTGGACGACCAACTCGCCGCCTCCCTTTCGGGTTCCACTCGAGGGCTTGTCTAGTGATGTCACTTGATGGTTTCCTCAGCGTATGGCCAATCCATCTCCATTTCTTTCTGCCTATTTGTTTCACAATCGGTTCCTGATTGGTTCGCTCCCAGAGATCCCTGTTGCTGATCTTTTCTGGCCATCTGATCTTGAGTATTGAGCGGAGACAGTTGTTAATGAAGGTTTGAAGTTTGTTTGAGATGCTCTTTATGACTCGCCAAGTCTCTGATCCGTATAGTAGCACTGACTTCACATTGGAGTTGAAAATCCGGATCTTATTTTTGATGCTGAGTGCTGTTGACCTCCACACAGATTTGAGAGTAATGAAAGCTTGTCTTGCTTTTCCGATTCTGGCTTTGATGTCCTCGTCAGTTCCGCCTGTAGTTGAGACGATGCTTCCCAGGTAGGTGAAGGAGGTTGTTTCTTTCAGGTTCTTCCCATTTATGCTTATTGTTGTCTGTTGTTGTTGTTGTTGCTGTTGATGTTGGCTAGGAATCTTCATCATCTCTGTTTTATCTATGTTCACGTGAAGTCCTATCTTTGATGCTTCTTCTGCCAACTTGTTACTTTTCACTTGCATATCTTCCAGTTTATGGGAAATCAGACATATATCATCGGCGAAATCCAGATCCTCCAAGTCTTTTGTGTCAGTCCATTTTATGCCTGTTCCCTCGTTGGTTGCCGTTGTCTGTCGCATTATCCAATCAATTGCAATCAGGAAGATCATTGGTGATAGTAGACAGCCTTGCCTCACTCCCGTCCTCACTTCGAAGGCTTCCGTAAGTTTCCCGTTGTGGATTACT